CCCCCCGTCAGGAGTTAAGCGACCCAAGTATATAACTTGTCAGGAACTGAGTGACCCAAGTACTAACTTTTTGGGAAACATTAGTACAAACAATTATATGTCCATTTAATGCAAGGGGGATGGAGCAGTATTGCGCAACCACTCCTCTTGCCCTCAAGCTCCTGCTATTCAGCTGAAGGTTTGAAAATAGCTTGTCTGTGTACAGATGTATGTATGTGCATGTGTGTGTGTATATATGACCAAGTATCTTGCCTTTCTTATAATTCCTGATCATACTGAGAGGGCCTATTGTCAGTTTTGGGTGTAGACTGCATGAATGAATGAAGTTAGTGTTTGTCTGGAGAAAAGTCAACCAGTTGGAATTGGTAGTACTAATCTCTCTGAAGAAGGCAAGACTGAGTGGGAAGGAAAGAGGGGTACTAATGTAACAAAAGTGTGCTTTGCTTCATTCTACTGTGGTCATTAATGTGATTTTTAAAAAATCAGGGTGCATGTGGGAAATTGCAAGTACATCAGTCTGTCTGTACTGATAAAATGGTGGAAAGCACAAGTGGTTAAGAGATTCAATAGATTACTGGGAGAGAGATCCATCGATAGCTATTGGTCACAAATGGCCCCCTCTTTGTTGAGAGGCATCATACCTCTGCATAGCAGTTGTTCACGGTTGCATTACTTCTGGAGGGAAGGTTGCTTTCATGCCCTGCTTTGTGGATTTCCTGGAAGCATCTAGCTAACCATTGTTTGAAATAGGTTTTGATTATTTATTTAAATATTTATATTTTACCTCCCCACCAAAACTATTAAAAAGTAGCTAAAAATAATAAATAGAAAATTGGGAGACCACAAGAAACCACGAGGAGGAAGGATTTGAAAATACCACCCCACCACAAACCTACATCTCTCCCCTGTAAGGTCATTTCCCTCATCTCTCTACATCCCTTACTGACTTTCATTGATTTAAAACTTCTCTCACATTCCATGCCTCCTGGAGCATCATACGTTCAGAGACATGTTAAAGACTAACATAATTTATTCCCGCAAGAGCTTTGATAAGTCATATCCTACTTCTTCAGATTCTATGAACAGGAAATCTTTATATACTTCTATAGGGAAAATTACTGAAGGGAAGGGGGAAAGGAGGAAGTCACAGAACATCCGTGATGGAGCATCAGTAGTCTTCACTAGAACTTTTTGGAGCATCCCCCACCCATTTTTCCAATGTTAAGCTAAAAATTCTTATTTTTCTTGATACCTGAGGAGTAACCCTACTATGTAGAAACTTTTAGTCTCTGTGTATGAACCTGCTTTTGCAAATGGCATGACCATGTATGCTACTATTAAACCCAACAATCTAAAATAAAGAAATAAGCATCAATGGAATACAGCATATTAATAACTTAGATGAACCTTTGGACTAATACCACAGGATGTATAGTGTTGTTTACTGGTGTTGTTACCACCATGCACCATGATATAATGGGAAAGAAGGTCTGCCAGTATGCTAAAGGGGATGTGATAGCAAAGTTAAAACATTTGAAGGATTGGCAATTTAGGAGGAGAAATATATGTGTCAGAAGAGCTTTTGCTAAATTCTTAAAATATCATTTGCTTTCACTACTGTATTATGGCACTGATTCACTTTAAGATCCTGCTGTCTTCTAAGCCAAGGATAGGCAGGTCCCAAGCAGGAGAGCCCAGATATTACAAATCTCTTTGGCAAATATGGACAACAGTAATAGACCATATACTTCTTTAAGGCTAGTCTTCATAGGAATAGGTTAAAGCAAACCCACCAGCACATTTATATTAGATACTCATTTCCCTCTGTGTTACTATTTTCTCTAAAGCCTCTTGTATTGCTTTCATTACCTGAGATATCTGCTCCCATTTTTATCCTACTTCCACAACTGACCTTCATTTATTCAATTAGCTCACCCTCTGACCTCATAGATTTTCTTTTAAATGATGAAGCAGAAATAGCTTTCAACCTCATGTTTAAAGGGATGTCAGTCTGGCCAAACATCTTTCCATGAGGTATATAGCAAAATGTACTTCAATCCACAATATTCATATTTGTGCTTGCTGCCAGAGGGATAGTCTTTGAAATCAATAAATCAACCAACCAACCAGTCAATCAATGGTGTTTTCATTATAGCACATACAGAATATTACAGTCATTTCATAAACGTAAACTTACCTCACAGGAAATGTCAACGTTTCATCATTCATTTTGATTCCACATTGGAATGAAATGCTTAAATGATACAATATTCTGAACTTTCTGCTTTTCAGTTCCTTAAAATATGACACTACATATGTTTCATTCAAATTGAGCTCCTATTTCATCCCCCGAAATACATTTTACAGCTGATATATTTTTCAGTGGGCTATTTTAACTGTTTCCATGCAACACAAATCTAATTATCCTAATGGGAGTTCTTTATACATTCCATCAGCATACCCTTGCTACATCTGTCAATGTGCAATTACAATTAAAATGTTTTTCAAGGATCACCCACAATTGTATTTTATGTAAGAACTAGGAATAAAGCCTGTTGTGGAAATAAAAACAACAAGCTCTAGAAAGAGGCTCTGGGAGAGTGCCAAGGCCTTGGGCACTCAGCGTCAATTTGCTGTGGTGACCTCCTTAAACCCCACCCTCTCCAGGTTCCACCCCTGAAATCCTAAGGAATTTCCCAACCTGGAGTTGGCAACCCCATCCCCTTCTGAGCTAACCATCAACCTACCGTTATCTGCCCCTCTGACTGCAGTTGACTTCTGCCCTCCCTTCCAGAGGTGGGGGGCTGGTGCAGGTTTTATTCAGCCACATCTCTGAATATCCTCCAGACCCCCAATAGGGGTCATTCACCCGAGGTTGCCATGACTTCCAGGTGCACACACACTCACATGCACATATAAAAAAATACAACCCCCCCCCAAAAAAAATCTCGTGCAAGGGGAGAGAGCGGGATGGCTGCTGGTGGTAATTTTGGGGGTGAGGCTTCCTATGCTGGCCAGTGACATGCAGAAGCTCACAAAATAAGGGGATCCCCTGCCCCCACCTGGGGAATGGCAATGCTAGGAGAACTGTGGAAATGAAGTAAACACTTTCTGTGTTGGGAAAGCTATAAATAAGTATTATTTTAATTCCGGGGTAGTTTATCTCATTCTTTGTCTCCCTGTGTCTCATGAATGCATGCTCCTGCCTTATACTGAGTCACACTATTGGTCTGTCAAGGCTAGTTCTGTCTACTCGGACTGGTACCAGCTCTTCATGGTCCCAGGTCTTTCACATAATCTTCTGCCCAATCCTTTTAACTGGAGGTGTAGGTGCTGGGGTTGAAACACAAGCCTTCTGTATGCAAAGTAGATGCTGTACTACTTAGTCTCCCTCCATGCATTAATTAATCCAATCAGTAATATGCTCCCATATAAAATCAGTCATATTTGCTTCCCAGATTTTTATCACATGACATATTGTTTGAAACAATTGTCATGTTCCAGCAGGATATCTGTTATCAAACAGTAACATACACTTTGGCCCTTATGAACTTTTCAGGTGTCAATGAAAACCAAGACAGTATCTTCAAATATTATGACAATTATTTCCCTCCGTTTCTCTCTCTCTCTTTTTTTTTTTGGTGGTGAGGCAACACAACTCTGTTCCTAGTGTGTTATAGGTCCAGAAACTGTGTGGAAATTTTGAATCTCAAGTTCAGAATTCTGGGAGTGTTTTTTTAAGGTGTTAAAGGCAAAAATGTGATCTTAGGCCCTGTCCACACGAGAGGGTTAGGGCCGGGAGAGGGACGGAACGGGGGCGGAGCAAACGGGCACGATCCCACCGCAACATCTGGGAAGCGTACCGTATCTGTCCCCGATCCAGCCCTTCCAGCGATTATCCGCTCCAAAAAAGAACCACCTACCGAGGTGGTTCTTTTCGAACGGCCACAGTAACGCTGGCCGTGGGATCGCCGGCGCGTTCTTTCCCTGGCACATCCCTGGCTCCTTGTCGAACTGCACATGCTCCGACATGCGCAGTTCAGCAGACTCCCGTGCCTTTCTCCCCGTCTCCCCGGCATCTGATCGTGCCGGGGAGCAAACGTACAGCGGCTCAGGGGATCTGTA